GTTCAGGATTTGGAATGGCTTGACTTCGTCTTTGGGAGGGTGCTGTTTACTTGTCGGTTCCCGTTACGATTCCAAGGCTGCTGGCGACAACGTTGAAAATTGTAGATGCTCGTTCCACTGAAGCTCTGAAAACCCTATGAACACCCTTGGTCTCAGGCCACAGAAAGCATATCCTAAACCTCAATGCATCTCGACCCTATCCGACGGCCCAAAACCTCGCGATGTTGAAACCCCAAAAACCTCGGTGTGCTTTTAAATGCTCGTTCTCATATACAAGCCTCATTCTGCTAGAAGTCGTAAAAAACCCTTTTGCACAGACTTGTATGCCCGCCTGGGTGTCGAATGTCAGAGCCGCTGTATCCTAAATCCTATACCCTAAAACCTATATATACCCTAAACCCTAAACCCTTACAACCCTTGTACCCTGAGCTTCTGGCATCCGGCGCACGCAATGTGAGCCTCTGCATCTCCCCCAAGATGTGAAGGACCTGCGATTGGCCGACTAGGATTAATTTGGGGGCCTTAACAACTAGAATAGGGTTCCTTGAAAGGGTTCCTTTGGCTTTATGAGGTATCTGTTATATAGGGGCCTTAATAATTAGAATAGGGTTTGTGGGCTCAGTACTGTAAGGTTTTGGTGATTATGAAGGCCCCTACAGTAAGGGTTTGAGCGTCTTTCTTGTTAGAGTTTAGGGCCGTTTAGGGTTTACTCTGCTCTGAGGTTGAAACACCCCTTGGCTCTGTGCGTGGATTCTTATTCAAATTCAGATCCGACTACTTTCGGTGTTTCAGGAACCCTACTTGGAGGTTCATGGTACTCATAAGTAGGCTTATAAGTAGGATAACTGTAGTTATAACCCATATTCAGGGACTTATAGCCCCACTTACAACTAAACATGAACCTTCAAGTATGCGCTGCATCTAGTCCATGGACTGGCTCTGGGGCTGCATTCGCTGACAAAGCACGGTAAGACCTGAAAACCTTCAACCAAATCTCTAAATCTCTGCACCATCCGAAGGCCTAGCCCTCCAAAAACATCAACTCCATTGAACATCATAAACTGACCTAGCATAGCCTCTGCAAACGTATGACAGCCTAAGCTATACCCGAAGGCACTGCAACCACACTTTAGCAGTCTTTAGTCTGCGCGTCACTGTACTAGGACGACCAGGTCCTCATCCGCATTCTACCGAAACCCTTCAATCAGTAAATATTCACCAACCCAGAGAGCCCAATACCCCTTAATTAAGGAATATGGCTTAAATCATATTATGCGCCCCCTTATAATTTAAGGTATATTCCTTAATTAAGGGGTATTGGGCTCTCTGGGAACCCAGGAACCTGAACGGGCGTCAATGTCTCCATGAGTCGCGCAACCTGTGGCCCAGAGATTTCGGGCTTTCGGGGTACCTTGCACTTCGGGGGGCCGAAGTTTCGAGGTGCTTGGCATGAGGGCCTTGGCGCAAAACAAGTGCCGGGTGTGAAGTGTGGGTGCTCAAAACCTGCGGGGCTGACATTATTGGAACGGTTGGCTTTGTTTTGCAGGGTTTGACACTCGTACTTCTTTGGAGTTGAGCCGCAACCCCCCAACGCTGCAAGTCCGAAGCAGCCTTCGTTCACAACGACGTCGGCGCAGAAGAGCCCCAAAGCCCGAAGAGTAAGCCAAAGCCCTTTTTGCTGCTTCAGGAGGGATCTCCTGAATAAAAGCCCTAAACCCAAGAAAGCCCCAAAAGGCCCTCCAAGCCCAAAGACCAAGCCTAGAAACCCCTGACAGCCGCTTGGGATAGAACCATAAAGCTTAGGGTCCTTGCCATGAAGAACCCTTACAAAAGCACCACCTGATTCCAAGGAACACCCCCAGAGCACTTTACTATACAACCCTTGACACCTCTAAGGAGTTCTAAGCCCTCAACCCAAACCCTAAACCCTAACATTCTAAACCCCTTAAACCCTTAACAGACCCCGCACTTTACCTAAGAGGCAACACCCTCTACCCTAGAAACCCCACAACCCTCTGCCCAAATACCAGGAGCCCTGTCTCTGGGCTCTTGTCATCCTTCTTACATTAATACCCTTACCCTTGGAAGGAACCCTTCTTATAGATCCCCTAAAGGAGCCCTCAAGGATCCCTTAAAGGAACCCTAAACCTACATGTCGGGTATCATGCGCAACTAAAGGTTCACCTTTTTGGTTATATAGGGATTGTGAAGGGGCTCTACTACCCAAAAAAGGTTAAAGGTTACTTACTCTACTACTAGGTAAATTATGATAACTTAAAATGAAGTCGAACCCAAAACAAGAGCCCTGTCTGCTCCCGAAGCCTCCGCCCTCTGAGCCAACTCGGCCGCTGCCATCTTTGCCTTCTCTGCCGCCTGCGTTTGGAAGGGTTTAGGCTTTAGGGGTTTAGTTTAGGGTTTAGGGGTTTAGGGGTTTAGTTTTTTGAGGGCCTCTTTAGGGATTTAGTTTAGGATCTAAGGTACTTGGGGTTCAGCGGTTTAAGGGTTTAGTTTAGGGTTTAGGCTTAGGATAAGCGCTTAGTGGGAGGGTTGTTTGTAGTTTGAGGGCTTAAGAGTGCATTATTTTATGAAGGCTAAGGGTAGAATCACATGCGTTTGATAAGGGCTTCTTTTGGGATGCTTGGGGTTTAGGGCCTATTCCAGGGTGTGCAGCTATGTAAACCAAGTCTTAGAGAGAGCTCCATCGGCTGGGTCATCGAGTTGCTTCAGAAACTGCAAGGGCCTGATACAGGTCTAGATTTTTGCACCAGCCCAGCTGAACGGGTTTCGGCGCTCACACTCGGACAAACGGGTTTAGGGTTTAGGGTTTGCTAGGGCATTTTGTTTGGTGCAAGGGCCTTGTAGGAGGTTCGGTGTGGTTGGCCTGTTTCTTGGTGGAGGGGGACGGCTTGGAGTGTCCTACGGGACTACAGCCCTCCTTCCATTGTAGTATCCTTAAGGGAGGGGGGTCCAAGGGGGGGAAAATAGCCTAGTGATCCCTAATTCTCCCTAGTACTCCCTGAGGTTCCCTTACAGTCCCCTAAGGATTCCTTATACCCTCCCCCCTTGAACCACCCTCCCTTAAGGATCCTATAATTCCATTACCCAGCTGGGCTCTGCTTGTCTTTACGATGCGAAGTCCCATGATCCTTTTAAGTCGTATAGAAGCCACAGTAGCTCGACTCAGGGCTTCAGGATTTCCACACTATACAGTATGTCTACGGGATATGACTCAGGTAACCTTGAACCTTGAAACAGAGGCCTCAATAAATTAGCATAGGCTTTTGCGGCCCATTAGGCTTTACATCATCATGAGGAACCCCCACAATAGGAACCCCCACAACAGTATCGGTAATTCTTAAGGCCCCTATACCAAAATCCTCACAATAGCCCTTTTTGTAGCCCTGACGGGCCCCCTTAAAGGAACCCCACCGCCCCCAAATAGTATCGGTAGTTATTAAGGCCCCTATAGTAGACCCCCATAATAGCCTGATATAAGTCCTAATCCCTAAACCCTAAACCCTAAACCCTAAACCCTAAACCCTAAACCCTAAACCCTAAACCCTAAATCCTAAACCCTAAACCCATCCTAATCCCTAAACCACGGGTTGAGGCTCCCAGAGAGTCGCCTCTTGCTCCTTCTGCCGCTGCAGCTTGTCCACGATGGTATCCACTTTCGGTAGGGTGGCCGGGTCGATCAGCACGGGCCCTGGTGGAAATAGGGTTCCTTTAAAAGGCCCTAATTTTGCAACCTAAATCGTAAGATCCTCATTATAAGGACCCAAAAATGATCTACCCCCCCCCCCCCCACCCCCCTAAACCCTAAACCCTAAACCCTAAAACGCCAATTTTGGCGGAAACTCCTGTTTAATCGCGGGCCTGCATTATAAGGATGCATCGCTGAGGCTCGGGGCTTCAGGGGCTCCCGGGCTGCAGGGTCTCTATGAAGAAGGGAAAGAACAAAGGGTCCGGGGTTTAGGGTTTAGGGTTTAGGGAAAAGGGTTTAGGGTTTAGGGAAAAGGGTTTAGGGTTTAGGGTTTAGGGAAAAGGGTTTAGGGAAAAGGGTTTAGGGTTTAGGGTTTAGGGGCTCCCTGTCAGAAACTTCGAAAGCCAAAACCACAAGGATCCACCGAGGATTAACCAAGTTTAAGTTTAGGGCAGGATCCATTCGCCCTACAAAAGCCTAAACAAAAGAATAGAGTTCCCCAACATAAACAGGAAACATCGACTCATCAGCCTCAAACTCCGTAGCCTCCAGACTAGGGTTTAGGGAATAGGGCTTAGGGAATTGAGGTTTAGGGTTTAGGGTTTCCTTTGGGGCCTCCGAAAAGTATTTCTGAATAGGTACAAGTACTAGTACCACTGCTGGACCATGAGGGAAATTGGAAAGCTTTCCCAAAGTGCCGCTAAGTCTTCCACTGAAGCCCAAGATTTTCGGGGTAGTCAGGTGTTTGGCTTTACGGCTCATGCTCCCTAGGGATTAAAGGTTTCGACGCTCACACTCGCACAAGGCAGAGGGATTAAAGGTTTAGGGTTTAGGGGTTTAGGGGTTCATTGGCTTAGGATTTCGGGCTTCCGCCAACCCGGACAGGACTTTTTGCGGCTGGTGCGTGCATGCATTTGTTGGGGCTACCGGGCTACCTGCCTGTTTTACAGGACAGGCTGGGGGAGGACACGGGATTCGGGGTTCGCAGCATAGAGGGACACAGTGCCTGCAGGGTTTCAGACATAGGGTGCGGAGTGTAGCAGCTAGGAGCTACCTCGACTTGAGTCTGTGACGGGGCTGCTGCACAAGTATCAGATTCCAGGTGAAACATGGCTGTGCAAACGTTAAGCTGGAACCTACTGCTTCGTGATGGAGTCTGGTTTATGAGACGGTTCAAGGTTTATGGTACGTCAGCACTGAACTTGACTAGGTTGGTCATGGCATCTCCATTCGGAGCCCTGTCATGTCGTGGCTAAGCCCTCAAATCTTGCATTGCCAACTCAAAGCGCGTGCCCGCTCACGCGTCACCGCTTGGCCCAGCCCGATCTGCCAGTGGCGACATCATGTCGATGTAGCTTTGGTACCTGAGCGCTGCTTCGGCTCAATATGGCCTCTTTACTGTGGCGAGACTCTGTTGTGTGGCTCGCAAAGCGTGGAGAAGTGCTGGTGGTAGTGGTGGAGGCGGTGGCGGCGGGTGAATCAAGCCCATAGACCTAAACATTCAAAGCAGTAAGCGCTACCTCCATCGCCAGCAAGCCCCAAACCCTGAACCCCCTAAAGCCTACAATGGCCAACAACCAAACCCACACCCTGCAAAGGGCCACCATGCCTGCCCATGCAAACATAAACCGCAGCATGGCGACTTGAAGTACTCCCACTGGCTGTCCGGCGTGGTCACGAAGCAGTCCTCTTGGAAAATGGCTGAGTGGCTAACCAAAGCTGTGCCCTTGTGTTGTTGTTGAGGAAAGCGGAGGGGGGGGGTTGAGCTAGAGAGTTACATGCTAACAACCCCCCACACTTATTCATCAACGACTCGGTTTGACTACCTGGTATAGACAATCCTGAAGCCTCTAAATGCTCCGCAACACCAGGACTGCAGAAAAAAACCGTAAACACACACACACACACACGAAAAACAAAAAAAACACACAAAACTCATGCACTACAAAACTACAAAACGGTTCACACCCGGAAAATCCCGAAACACAACACAAGACAAGCGGCTGAGCAGAACCCGAACTCAAAACAAAGAGATGAAAGAACAACTGAAAGCAACAACCAAAAACCTCCCCAACGACAAGAGAGACACTGAAAAAAACAAACGTGTACGTGCATGCACCATGTATGGAGGCATGCGTGTATGTATGTATATATATATATATATATATATATATATATATATAACAACTTTCGTATATATATATATATATGTGTGTGTGTGTGTACATATGTACAGACCGAAAAAATCGCAGGCGGCTCCTGGTAGTGCTGAAGCAGCTCTTCGACCTGCGAGTCGCTGATCTCGGCGTGCATGTAGGTCCTTCGGAGGTTTCGGAACTGGGTTTAGGGTATAAGGGTTAGGGTCTCCAGGGTTTAGGGTTCAGGGTTGAGGGTTTAAGGTTTAGGATTTAGGGTTTAAGGTTTAGGGTCTAGGGTTCAGGCTTTAGGGTCTAGGGTTTAAGGTTTAAGGTTTAGGGTTTAGGGTTTAGGTAGGTCCTTCGTCCTTCAGATCTGGGGCTACGAAAACTACAGGGCACCAACAATGTACGCCGGCTACCAAATTGTAAATGTTAAGCCTTATACTAAGGGCTCTCTCTCTCTTTCTCTCTCTCTCTCTCTCTCTCTCTCTCTCTCTCTCTCTCTCTCTCTCTCTCTCTCTCTCTCTCTTTTCTCTCTCTCTCTCTCTCTCTCTCTCTCTCTCTCTCTCTCTCTCTCTCTCTCTCTCTCTCTCTCTCTCTCTCTCTCTCTCTCTCTCTCTCTCTCTCTCTCTCTCTCTCTCTCTCTCTCTCTCTATATATATATATAGACACACATATAACGATATACAACTATTTTGCAACTAGCATCCGACCCGTACAACCCAAACTACGGGCACGAAAGAGATACGACACGATACATTAGGGGCACTATAAATATAAGTGCGCTGTAACGCTTCTATTAAATCTAGGCGCAATATACGGCTACTTTGAAAAACAATGCCTGTAGATATCTGCTATACATTGTGGGTACGACATGGAAATGTATACATAGATACATAGATACACATCTACATTATGTACATGTACATATAAACATGTACACATGCATGCATATATACATATATACACCTACATACACATATACATATGCACATATACATACATGCATACGAAGTAACTAAGTAGTTATATAACTATATATATATATGCCCACATATACATGATACGACTTCAAGACGAGCAGCATCAAAGCGGCCAGCAAAGCAAGAAAGCTCTGTTACTGCAGCTTGCGCATAAGACACGGCAGCCAGGTGGGCCACGGCACCCAACCCGAAGAAGACAGAAACTAGTTATCGCTTCACTGACGTTAGTGGCGCCAGTCAGGAAACTACTCGAACTGCGGCTCGTAAATGATATCCTGTGGATTTGCACTTGCAAAGTGCTGCCAAGGTATTTTGAAACAGTTGGATATCGGGCGAGTGATAAGTGCCTATCCCCCAGGCTCGTCAATAAGGTCTCTGTCAATCCGTGATATCACCTGTCGCATGCTTCCCCTCCCGACCACGTGCCGTGCACATACAGCATCCGCCCAATATGAATGTTGAATTCCGCCGCATACTTTGCAATAGGGAGATTGGCCTTATTGACACCATCACCATCATCACCACAGCGACAATACTGCTGTATAAAGCCCGGGTCCCAGAAACAACTGAACCCCTGGGTAAGGATGATAAATTGAAACCCTAACCCCTCGACCGAAACCCCTTAACCCTACACCCCTGACGAGCTCGGGTTCAGGGTTTAGGGTTTAGGGTTGCGAAGACCTGACAGTCCTGAGCGCTTCACGCAGGTCATGGACCCTGATGAGCCCATCGGGCGCATTTCGCGCAAAGGCCCTGGGAAGGAGGTTGCAGCAGACAACATGATTCGCTCTCGAAGCCTTTTGTTGTCTCTCCCGAAACCCATCAAGCGACTGTCATCTCATCAGGGGAGTCTGATCAGATCCAATGCAACACCGGGAGAGAACATGGCTCCATGCATGCAAGGGCGAGAGAGAGAGAGAGAGAGAGAGAGAGAGAGAGAGAGAGAGAGAGAGAGCGAGGGAGAGAGAGGGAGAGAGAGGGACAGAGAGGGAGAGAGAGAGAGAGACGGCGCGGAGGTGGAGGGCAATTAACATGTGAAGCGAGATAGTACGACAAAGGAAGGGCTGCTACACGTAGGCATCGCTGCAAGCAAAGCGTAAAAGTTTGACAACGACCTGTAAAGGGACCCCTGCTTGCCCGACGACACCCGACGTGGGCCCGAACGGCCGGAAATTAACGTTGCTCCATAAGGGGAGAGTTTAGGACATTGGATCTGCTTAAAGCTTTTGTTCAGTCAGGGATTCGACCTACAAGGGAAGGGTTCGGGAGTTCAGGAATATTGAACTTTCATACAGAAGCAGCCGGGTACTGTTGCTCAGAACCCCTCGGTTTCAGCAACTCGCGCCTAAATGCCTGCGTCACGTCCTCGGGCTCGTAGTCGATCCTGGTCCCCAATGACTTTCAAAGCCCCTAATTCATGCTATATACCCAAAATCATGTGAGGTCTCTGGGAGCTCTCGGTGATTTAGCTACATGCTAAAATTCCGAAACTCCCTTCACACAAGATACACGCTCCTTTTCTGGTAGTTTTTGAATCGATGCTGCAGAGGAAGCTCACTGTTGCGTTATTGGCTTCGAGCTCAAACCTGAACTACAGCCCCAAGAAATCATCAGCGAGAGCAAACACCAAACCCCCTGAAAGCCCCAGACGTCGGGACCCCGAGCGATCCTTTCTTATCCCAAACAATGCAAAAAGGGCCCCTAACGCTACCAGTACCATGGAAACTTGAAAGGAGCGGACCTTGATAAGTCATCAAACCCTCGTTTTTTGTGAAGCGTGCAGGACACCTCTACGGAGCCTAAACCCGGAACCTTCTCTAAACCTTTGTCCTTGAACCCCGAGCCGACATCCTTACCAGAGCCTTCCCTGACAGCCTAAGCCCTGAACCCGAAAACACTATATACTATGCCCCCGTTAGAACCATAATAAAGACAATATCTTTAATATTCTCTTGGGCTTTGTATGAACAAAAGTTAAAATCCTAAGGAGACTATAGCCTAGACCCTTATCTCGTGTTCGCGGCAGGGCCGCTGCATCTTCCGAGCCATCGAGGTGCAAAGCTCGGCGAAGTTAATCCTCAGCGGTGCGCTTCTCGAACCAGGCAAGGCTTTTGCTGACGTTTATTTGAAGGCTCTGCGGCAGGTGTGGAGGAGCTTCTCGAAAAGGCATCTGTCTCAAATCTTGCTTATTTCAACTCGGGGCCCGTCTTCGGCACGCCGAGCCATCGAATCTAAATCCAAGTTCTCTACAAGAACCCACATTAGAAACCCACCCGACGAAGCCCCCCTGTCCGAAACTCTTCTTGAAACCTCGGCCCACATCTCAGCAAGACTTATGCCGACTTACCCTAAACCCCTAAACTTGGAAGCTGCCCCTACCCTGTAATAGTGACTTTAAGGATTTTAGGGCCCTATTATATTCCTAGTATACCACTATTACAGGGTGGGGGCCCCTTCTAACCCTAAACCCTAAGAGCCCAGAAGCTCGCCATCGCCGTCCACGTCTATCTCTGCCATCAGGGCATCCTCCGGATGTCTGCGTGTTCTGCGGCTTTTTCAATGGCTGAGGCCTCGATGTCGACCCGGAAGCACAAAAATCCAGGACCCTAAACCCAAACCCTAGACCCTAAACCCTAAGCCGTCCTCTCTAAACAGACCTCGAACCACATGCCTCGCCTGGATTGTCCGAGTGTGAGCGCCGAAACCCAAAGCCTTAAAGCCAAAACCCCTAAATTTCTGACGATGAGTTCTTTGTTGGCGGGCTTAGCGGTTGTGCCCTCGTACCAAGGGTGCATTCCCGCCAGGAGGCTATATACTACGATCGGCAACGAATGTCCTATAAATGGAGTGTATTATACAAAAGTGTACTATGATATACTACAATGTACTACAATACACTATAACATGTTGTAATACACCATGATATACTACAGTATGCGACAATATGCTATATTCGTAATCTTTAACCTTTTGTCTGAAACGGCACCCCAATCACGAAGCTGCAGGCTTCCATCACCCTAAAATGCCACGCTCTCACCCAAAATTCCCTCAACCCTAAAACCCTCGCAGGATCTCATCCCCCAACGTCCCAACCCCTGAACCCTAACGTCGATGTTACAGGAACCCTTTGAAGAACCTTAGCAGCAACCCTCTCCCCAACCCGAGGAACTTGAGGAACCTGTAAAACAAGAGCCCTCAAGAGGAACCGTTGAAGGTGTAAGTCGCTAAGTTTGGGTCCCTTCTTCCCCCCCGAAATAGCACGGTACCCTTCTAAACTGGACCCTAAAAAGGGGGACACTAATTTAGAGAACTACCCACATCACCCTGAAACCCCTAACCCGAAACCCCAAACTTTTCCCAACCCCCCCCCCCCCCCGGCGCACCCTAAACCCTTAAAACTTTTCACAAAAACCCCCCGGCGCACCCTAAACCCTCAACCCTAAACTTTTCCCAACACCCCTCCCCCAGAGAGCCCAATACCCCTTAATTAAGGAATATACCTTAAATTATAAGGGTGCGCATAATATGATTTAAGCTGTATTCCTTAATTAAGGGATATTAGAATCCCCTTAACCCTAAACCCTATAGATCCCTTAAAGGATCCCTTTAAAGGAACCCTAGGTAACCCCCCCCCCTCCCCCCCGAAGTGCGCGCGCCATCTGCAGTGGGCTCAGCTTGAGCCCAACTGTCTCAAGGAGCTGCTCGAGGTCGTCGACGCCTTTTTGCAGCGGTGTCGGGCTTCCCAGAGACTCCAATATCCCTTAATTAAGGAATATACCTAGGGTTCCTTTAAAGGGATCCTTTAAGGGATCTGTAGGGTTTAGGGTTTAGGGGATTCTAATACCCCTTAATTAAGGACTATTCCTTAAATCATATTAGGGATCCTACTATAATTTAAGGTATATTCCTTAATTAAGGGATATTGGAGTCTCTGGGTTTAAGTCCATAAGGTTCAGGTTTTAAAGCTTACTTGAAGGTTCCTGGGCACTTATAAAGTGGGGTTCGAAGCCCTTCAATATGGCTTATAACTGTAGGTATCCTACTTATAATCCGACTTATAACTAACCATGAACCTCCAAGTAGGGTTTATAAGTCAGGTTTTGGGTTTAGCGGTTTAGGGGTTTTCAGGTTTGGTGTTTTTCAGGCTTGGGGTTTAAAATTACAATCTTTGGGTTGCGAGTTTGGGGTTTAGGGTTTGGGATTTCAGGGTTGCCTGCCAGATGATTTCCAGAGTTTGGGTGGAGGTCTGTGGGGTTGCCTTTTGAATCGGCAAGCCGGGGCTCTGCACGTGTGTCTTTACCAAAGGATGCTTTGCATCTTTAGTACATGCTTGCCTTTGCGTTCGTGGGGCTTGGTGCTCTCAGGGCCTCCGGGTGCTTGCATGCTGTGGGGGAATGTTCGGGCATAGTACAGGCTCGACCCTCTGTAGTACAGGGAGGCCCTGACAAGCCTCAATCCCAAACCCTAGGCCCTAGACTGAACCTCAGAACACTCACTCCTAACCCTGAACCCTGAAGCAAAAAGCCTAAATCTAAACCCTGTATCCTGAACCCTAAACCCCTAAAGCCGAAACAGTCAAATGAACTGGCTTTTTTTGGGGGGTGTCTCAGGGTCACGGCCCGGGCATTGATGAAGCATCCAGGCTGCAGTGACCGAGTGGAGCGTCAGAAAGGTATGGCATAGCTGTTGAATCCACAGGCCCCAAAAAACGTACGCTTTCAATTCTATGGGGGGGGGGGGATTAATTTTATCACAAAAAGTATAAAGTGTACTCGCTCAGCTACTGAGACTATTAAGGTGAGAAGGGTTTTGGGCTCAGGGTTGAGGGGCTTGGGGCTTAGCGCCCCGGTTTCGGGATGTGTTCCGGCTATACCCTGCCTAAGCGGCAAGGACAGTCTACAACGCTGCTGAAGCACTGAGGCGACTGAAACTGGGTTGGCACGTTTCGGGTTTCAAACCCTAAACCCTAAACCCTATACCCTAAGCCCTAAACCCTATACCATGCCTAGTTGGCACGTTTCGGGTTTACGGGTTTAAGGGAACCGAAGCCAAAGAGTGCCCAAGACCGTCGAACCTCAAGAAACCCCCAAGTCCTAAAGCCTGAAACCCCAAACCAAAAAAAAAAAAAAAAAAAAACCTAAAAATCCTAAACCCGAACTAAACCCCCCCAAAAAAAAACAAACCCTAAAGACCCCTAAACCCCCAACCCTAAACAGCCGGGGCCTATGGAGCCTTGCTCGTTCCAGTCGGTGATCTGGATGTTGTCATCGCTCAAGCCGGCGCTTCGTGCCTGCAGTGGCGGGTTTAGGGCTTTAGGGCTTTAGGGCTTTAGTTAGGGTTTAGGGTCTGAAATTTTTGGGGGTGTAGGGGTTTAGGGTCTAGGGGGTTTAGCGCTTTTTTCTAGGGTTTGGGGTCTGTAGATGAATTTTAAGCAGCAACAGCTGACCATAGCTCCACCAAAGGTAAGGGTTTGGGGTTTGGGGTTTCGGCACTCACACTCAGGGTTTGGGGTTTAGGGGCGTTCACTGTAGATGGGTCATAACCCTAAGCCCGAAACCCGAAGTAACAAGCTACCGTTGAATACAAAGCTTCTAGCAACCCGCCCGGGCTAAGTTGGATCGGAGCATGTATGTGCCCTCTTCGGCATGCCTTAGCACATACCGAAACTCTGCACTGTTCGACCGACACTCTTTTGCATACGGCTCTCGGACACTAGCCGGGAGAAATGCTGTGGGTAACGGCTTCAAGCCGGAACTCTAGGTTGGACCTCCTGTTGAATGATTCCCAGAGATGTATTTTTGAAGTATCCAGCCTCATGCTCCTCATCCTGGGTTTAGAGTACGAAATGTGTTGAATGTTTACCCAATATAAAAAGTGTGTGTGCATACATATATATATATGCATGTATGTATGTATGTATGTATAAACACCAACAAATACCCATGTATGTAGTTGATCAATTCTGTGTGTATACATAGGTGATCTTTCTCTCGCTGTCGCAATACTAGAAAACAAACCGGAGTTTCCGAAAATAGAGGGCCCTAAGATAGTACCCTAAATAGTAGGATCCTTATCATAACGACCAAAAGGTTAAGGTACCCCTATTTTCGGAAACTGCCAAATCCCGAACAAAAGCACACATTCAGAAAGTGTTGGACCCTTGGCTTCTGAAAGGGGGAGCCTGGCTCAGCTGCTTGAATAAGCAGAAGATCTGTCGCATTTCCTGGAAGCATGTCGGGTTTCGGGATTAGGGCTTTTTTGCCCTCTCGCATTTTCGGGATTAGGGCTTTAGGGTTTGGGGTTTAGCGTGGAGTTTCGGGTTCAGGCTTTAGGACTTATAGGGTTTCCGACTCACACTCTCGAGGGATTCGGGTTGGGAGCGACGTCGGAAGATCTCCATGCCTACCTTAAACCCGACATTGTAAGAGGCGAGACCAGCAAGGCTGCTTGAAGGCTCCCAGTAAATTAGTTAGAGGTATGGCTACAAGTTCTAGATGGCATAGTCGGGGCCATACTCAGCTGTTCGTGCAGGAGGGGATTGAAAATTAGAATAGGATTTCTAGGTGGGGCTTTCAAAGCTTCTGAAAAATATTAGTAAATAAGATCTTCTTAAGCCCAGTAAGGGAAAATTTAAAATGTCCCAAAGCCCTACCCAGATTTAGGGCTGCATCGGACCGAACGTCTGGGCGGTGCAAAGCGAATCAGAGTGACAGGCGAAGCCTCATGAACGACGAGCCCTGAGGCACTGAGGGCAGAATAAGCTCGAAGCCTGTGCTTGACGCGGTTCACTACATGAACCCTGGCACCACATGCCAAATGTCATTGCTTCAGAGTCAAACTATGTAGTTTACCTGAGGAAGATCTTTGGCAACTCCTGGGTCGCTACATTACCTGCAAGACAAATTCTACTGTAGTTGGTTTACACAGCTACTGCATGGCCGAAACAGTGTTTAATACAAAGCCTAAACTCCTAAACTCAAAAACCGAAGCCCAAAACTCTGAACCCTGAATCCAAAACCGGAAACCCCCCATATCTCGATACTGGTAACCGTAGACCCTAATCAAATCCTATACTCAGGCTACCCAACAGCCACCCAAAACCCGAAACCCTAATTCTGAGCCCTCTCGAGTCCTCCTTGTCTTGCTCGGTGATGCCCCGCTTCTTTACCGGGGCGTGCACCAAGTCCTCAGTCTGGGACTTGAGGGGCTCTTGAGGCACACGGCTATAAAGGGTACTCCAGAAAGTTGGAATATGGTTTCAGGGTAGGATACCTTATAATTTACCATAAAGGGTTTAGGATAATCATATTCCAACTTTCTGGCTTTTACTGTAGGGGTTCAGAGCCCCTGAATGCATTTTGGTCAGGGGCTCTGGCTGAATAAACTCTGTACGGTAGCGGCACCAACTTCAAGGAATTCCGGGGTTGCCAGCATGGACTAGTTCTACCTAGAGCCTCGAAGGTTGTCTCACGGTCTGATAACACGGTATCCAGATCTGAAGTGCGCGAAGTACACGTCCCTGTGGGAACCCCTAGTCTACAGGCCTCCACCCCCTGACCCCTGCTTGGGGCCTGAACAATTACCACCACCATGCCTTGGGGTTCCTCAATAAATCAATTGTATACTGGACCAAAAAATCCATTTCCAGTCTTTCAGGCCTCTATATTATAAACCAAACGTAAAACCCTAGACCCTAAAGCCCTAAACAGCAAAACCCTTCACCTGATCACCTAAACCCTAAACCCCTGCCTTCTTCTCCTTCTTCGCCGGCAGCTTCTCCGCCGCGCGCATGGCTCTGTCAAACTCCTGGCGTAGTCGGGTGCCTTTGGTACCTTAAGGGTTTAGGGTTTAGGCACAGCCTACTATTTGTGTAGGTTCGTAATATGAAGTACCCTAATATGAACTGTATAGAGGCTCTACGAAAAGAGGTTTCGGTCGGCTCAGGTAGGTAGGCTCAGGCTACGCAGCCACTATTCCCTATCTCAGCTATGGCATGGGGGCAACAAAAGCGCCGGTGAAGCAAAAGAAGCCCTTTTTTCTTGAGCAAGGGCTGCAATGCACTAAGCTTTGAATCCCTTCAGCCAAGCTTCAAAAGAAGCCCTAAACCCTCAATCCGCAACCCGAAAACCCCTAAATCCTACAGCCCGAATCCTAAACCCTAAACCCTACCCTAAACCTTAAACGGCTCCTTGACGCTGACCTCTCCTCCGCCGTCTTTGTCCTGATGTCGGGGCTGTAACAGCTTGAACTGTGTCGAAGCTAACCCCTAATCCCTAGAATGCTACGGCTTAGGGTTTACTGTTTAGGAACCCCTGAAATGCTGGATCCCCTAAACTCTCAAACCCGAGACCCCCAACCCTGCAAGGGCCTCCTTTAAGGGGTCTCCCTGTTACTCATTACCGAAGATTATGGAACCCTGATAGTGGAGGCCTTAACGGAGGCTTCAAGAATCAAGATCAAGGGCGATCACACTCTTATAGAGCCCTTCTAGAACCTGTACACCTAAAACTTAGAACACCACTAGACCCTAAGCCCCAAACCCTAAGCCCTGAACCCTAAACCCCAAACCCCGAACCCCAGTAGACCAAGGGGCGATCACGCTCATGATGGACTGGAGGTCTGCATCTGAAAGCTTGAAACCCAAGTCAGAGAGGCCTGGCGCTTTGCTTTTGATTGTTGTTTAGGGCTTAGCGGGGTTTAGGGGTTGGGGTTTCAGGGTTTAGGGTTAATATGTCGTTGGTCGCGGTTGCATTGAAGTGGGGACATAGCATAGGCATGAACCAGTCCCTGAAAGGTGCACACTCGAGTGCGGTTTCCTGCACACATGGTGCTGATTGAACAAGACACCAAGAATCCTGGGTCCTGACCGACCCCATCACCCCCCAATTCTCCATGACAAAAACTGTTACTGTACCAAACCCCGAGAACTCTGAACACGAAAGCTTCTCATTAAGCTCTCAGTCATGGGAGCTTAAGGCCTAGGCCTAGGACTTCCTGTTTAGACCACTTGAGTCGTCTGCCTGAGGCCCCCCAAAAAAGATCGAATCCAGGAATGACGAAGTCATGTCTGATTTAACGTTTCGCTGTGTAGTCCGTCGCATTCGGCTTCCTACACCCCCCGTTGTGAAAGGGCCTTGGTGATAGCGACGCCGCTTAGGCTCCGTAGCAACGGACGGAGTCTATCAAAAGCCAGGTCTGAAGCGTTCAAATACCCCCCCCCCCCGCCCCGCCCTCAACAAATGTAGCTATCATGTACTGCACGCCCAAGCCGTATTCTAAATTTCATAGCCGCTGAACCCTAAACCCTGTATCGATCAGGTGCTACACTACCTTCCGAAGAAGCCCTAAACCCTGAACCCCCTGAACCCCGAACCCTAAACCCCTAAACCCCTAAACCCCCTAAACCTCTAAACCTGCTAAACCTGCTTTTTGCATCAGTAAACCTGCTAAACCCCTAAACCCCCTAAACCTTGAACCCTTGCGAAGAAGCCCTCCCTTCACGCAGCCTGCCCGGAGCTCCTCGCCAGTCACGTTTCCTGAGATCGCGGGAGCTTCGGGGGGGGGGGGTTCGGATGCAGGTTTGGGATTGTGGTTTAGGGTCTGGGGTTTAGGCTTTCGGGTAGCCGTTTAGGATTTGGGGATCTATGGTTCAGGGTCTAGGATTCTGTGATCTAGAGTTGAGTTTAGGACTTTGGGATCTAGGGTTTAGGGTTTTTGTCTTTCGGACTGAGAAACTTCTGGGCTTTCGTATGCCGGATGCTCTCGCGCGAAGTTGCGTGCTTGGGGCCCAAAGAGTTCGAGTATGGGGCTTGCAAAGAAGAGATGCCAAGGTTTTGGGGGTTTAGGGTTTAGGGTTTAGGGGTTTTGGGGTTTAGCATAAGACACAACCTTTCGGACAGCTGCTCCCCATCATGCTCCGAAGTTGTCTAAGCTTTCAGGGCTTAGGTCGAATAGTCGCGTACATAGGTGGCCCTACTAGTCAAACTGGGGCTTTGGGTTGTGTTGTACATACTATGATGACATAGAAGCTCTGAAGGGATGCGCCAGTACTAGCTCTTCTCTTCCAGCTCTGTATTACCTGCGATGGCGCGGCCGTCGCCACTGGAGTCGATCTTCTTGAAGAGGTCGCTGGCCCGGAGCCTAAGAGTAGCTGAAGCCGAGGATTCGCGTACTATAGGGGCCGAAATATATGGGTAGTTGTCAAAATTAAGGGGCCCTTTTGGGGTACCCTAAATAATAGGTGCCGCAATATCATAGGGACCCAAAAGGGACCATAATTTTGACAACCACCCAAATAACAATTACCAATACTATTTTGGGGGTTCCTTAGTATAGTTAGAGTATAATGGGCCCGAAAGCCCCTATTCCCATAATTTAGGCCCCTATGTTACATGGTTTAGGGCTTAGCGCCCTAGTGCCCTAAACCAAAACCTTTAACCCCGAGCACTGAACCCTCTAAGCCCTAGAAGACCCGCCAAATCCCCATCGAAGATGTTCAAGCCTCCCAGAGCACAGCTCTCAAAGTCCTACCAGCACCGGAGCAGAAAACAATACCCGCATTCAGCGACAAGGATCACGGCACTCTACGCAGCGATCCTAGGTTGCAGTGGTCTATCCGTCAGTTTAGCTGCTTAGCTGTTCGCTGATCTAAAACAAACTCGTGATGCTCTCTAGGATAGCGGAACAGAAGTCAGGAACCCCGAATCCATGGAGTTCCCGCAGCCTCTTCTTTTTGAGGAGGTCCGCAACGCTCTTCATCAGTTCCTCCCGGCAGAAAAGACGCCATGACACGTTCCGCTGGATCGTTGCTTGCTGCTGTTCCCTTGCAGATCCTAGACCGCAAGCTGTGTGAATCTTACACCCGTAGATGGAAGCCGAGTCCTTATTCTTTGAGCAGGCAGAAGTCCTGATGGCCGACACTGACTTACGAAAGTCCGACCAAAACCATAAACCATAAGCTTTCAACCCTACGTTCTACCCTAAATCTACAAACTTAAGTCCTCTCTCTCTCTCTCTCACACGGACTCGAGTCGATCATGCCGCGATGAAGCAAGCCGTCATGTCGTTGTTCGACACACCAAAACCACCACAGGCCTAAAGACTCTGCACACGATTGACCCAAGTAGGCGGGATCAAACTTAAGTCCTTAAACCCCTATACAAGCCCCATAGACGGACAGCATAAGACTGCATAAAAATGCTGTTTGTTCGTCCTTAAAGCCTTAAAGATTACGAGAGGGTTTTGGTGAATATGCTACTATGGTGGAAGAGGGGCGCCCAAGGAATGGTAGTGTTAATTATCCAGTCTGCTATCTTCGAATGCCATCCCTATAAACACCAGGAAAGCCCTAAACCCCAAACGCTGAACCCTAACCCCGTTCTGCTTCTCTAAACTCTAGTCCTAAAACCTAAACCCTAAATCCCTAAACCCAAATCCACAAACCCTACAACCCCAAAGGTAGGCCCTCCGAAAAGCCTGCCGTCCTCCGCCTCCGAGGTCATCTTCGGCGTGGTGTCGACGGGCTTCGCCGGCTTCTCCTGGTTCAGCGCTCCGGGCGGAGGAACCCCTTAGAGGCACCCGGGCCCCTTGAAGGACCCCGTAAGAGAACCCTATGGACCCCTTACCGGGACGCTTTTAAGGAACTTTTAGAGGAACATAGGACGCAAAGGCAACCCCAAAAAGACTACGTAAGGAAACCAGGAAGGGACCCTTAAAGGGATCCCCCGGTCGGAACACTTTGAGGGACCCTTCAGGAATCCTCAAAAAAACCTTCCTCGGGGAAATCCTTTAAGGTTTCATTGGGTTCGTGCTCCCCTCTAGCATGGCTGGAATCGAAATCCACAAGCGAGGAAAGATTGTCAGATCATGAACGCTTTTTTTTAGGGGGTCTCCTTTTACCATCTGCAATCCACAAGTAGTTCCTTTTTTTTGGGCTCATATTGAGAATCCTAAAAGGTAATCCCCAAAAGGAACTAGAAGATCATGAACGGTTTAGGGTTTAGAGCTTTGCTGGGTTTTGGAGTCTTCGGATCAAGGGTTGGTGATCGTTACGTTTTTCCCCGTGGCACTACTTATATGGGGGTTTCCGAAAATAGGGGTACCTTATTTGGGGTTCCTTATAATAAGGATCCTACTACTTAGGGTACTATGTTAGGGTCCCCTATTTTCGGAAACTCCCATATTGACAGTGAGCAGTTCAATGGTAAAAGGACAATATCATAGCAACTTTAGTATCAGCAACCAGTAGTGACGATAGCACCTTTATGTCAGTAGCAGCGATGAACAACTATTTCGTACAACTTCCATAGCCTGAGTTGCAACAAAGCAAGAGCGAAGATGAAGCAATCAGTAATGTTTGGGGTTCAGCTCTTTAGGTCGCTGGGGGCTTCGAAGGGCTGGGGGCTAGGGGGCTCCAGTCCTCTGTGGGTGTTGAAGTTTTCGGGTCTAGGGTCTGGAATTTGGGGTTTCGGGTTTTTTTTTTGAGCCCCTTTTTACAGCTGCACGACCATCCGAACTGCTGCAAGGCCAGTAGGCCAGGCGGTAGAGTGTTTAGGGTTTTGGATTTAGGGTTTAGGTTTCAAAACGGATCTCAAGCTTTAGGGTTTGGGGGTTTGAGGATGTCTTAGGGGTTTTGGGCTTTCGGGGCCGTGGGTTTCGCCTTCCCCTTCATATGATAACTTAAGCTAAGCTTTCGAACAACAACCCGGTTTAGGGCTTAGGCTTTTTTTGCACGCGTTTTTTCCGACGATTTACGTAGGTTTTCTAAACTTAGAACCCGCAACCTTACAGAAAACTTAGCCCAAGAGGCCCGAAAAAAACCCTAAAGCCTGTTTTGCGCAGGCACTGCGATGAACTGAGGCCTGAATCACCTCAGCCGACACCCTGGGGCCCTGAACACCCTGAACCCGAAGCCCTAAGAAGATAGTGTTATGTAGAATCCTAGAAGGTAATCTCCAAAAAGGAACTACTATGGGGGCCTATGGGTAGGGTAGAGCTATAGATCTAGTGTAGGAACCTGATCAAGCAACCCTGGGCCCAAGGTTTCTAAATCAGGTTCCTACATTATTATAGTACCCTTATACATCCCTTATAGTAATCCTTATAGACCCCTACATTATTATAGTACCCTTCTACATCCCTTATAGTCATCCTTATAGACCCCTTTAAAGGAACCCTCATGGTTCCTACATGGGTAGTTATACTTCGAGCAAGCCTAACCCTTATAGACCCCTTTAAAGGAACCCTCATGGTTCCTACCTTAGAGTTCAGAAAACGTGGGGTGCTCCCAAGCCCGGGCGCCTCCACGGCCAAGCCGAAGCCGGACATCAGCACCGCCTTCCTCGGACGGCTCTGGGCTTTAAGGGATCTATAAGGGTTACTATAAGGGATCTATAAGGGTACTATAATATAGGGGCCTTAATAATCCTATATCTTACCTTTGGTTAATAGGGAATGGAGGAAGGAATAGTCCTTATTATAGTAGGGTCCCTGGACGGCTCTGGGCTTTAGGGTGAGGGCTTAGGAGTTTAGGGTTTAGGGTTCAGTGTATAGGGTTTAGGGTTTCGGGTATAGGGTATAGGCTTGAGGGTTCTTTAGCGTTACTTACCTTTGGTTAGTAGGGAATGGAGGAATGGGCTACAATTATAACTACTATTACTACCATTCTTCTATTCCCTACTAACCAAACGTAGGGTTAGGGCTCAGGAGTTTAGGGTTTAGAGTGCAGGGTATAGGGTTTACGCTCTCACAACTCGGACTCAGCCAGGCGAGGTTCTTGGGTGCAAGTCGGGTATAGGGTTTAGGGTTTCGGGTGTAGGGTATAGGCTTGAGGGTTTAGGGTAAAGGGTTTTTTGGTATAGGGCGTCTTCCCGCGCAGCGGCTGGTAATCCATGCTCAGATGGCGATCGAGTTGCGGCAGATTTTGCATCAAGCGACCTTCCTTGTGCGCCGAGATAGAACTCGGTGGAGACGGAAAATCGTTTTACCCGCGTGCTGTGATGAACCGCGATTTCCTGTTGTGTTGTGACTGGGGCTCACGCCCTCAATTCCTACACTATGCCACAGATGTACGAGTCCCTCGCCTGCAGCGGTGCAAACAACAACAACGACAAGGGCGCAACACAAGGGCGGTACCGACTCCGGAGCCACGTTTTGGAGGGTTCTGGGGCCTCCCCGGGGGCGAATTCTTCGAGGGCTTCAAAGCCAAATCCATGGCTCTGGGGCTGTATGTGTGGGAGTTTCCGAAAATTAGGGGTACCTTATTTTGGGGTCCTTATAATAAGGATTTAGGGTACCATACGAGGATCCCCCTATTTTTGGAAACTCCCATGTGGCTTTCAGGCCCAGGCTCAGGGCTATCGTTAAGGGCTCTGGCTAAGGGCCTAGGCCTGTGGTGGACCACTCTTGATTTCGTCGGCGAGATGCCCTCAAGTGGAGGAAGTACTTATGTAAGCTTGTGTGTCATTCAGAGAAGCTCTTAAAGCTAAGAAGCATTTCAGTTAGACGAGCCAGAGCCCATACCCGGATCCCTGGCTTTCCGAAATTTCAATATACGCCTAGGAAGTTAGGCAGTGTAGGGTTCTATGATGGAGAGTGGCCGAAACTGGCTAAACCTGAGCCCGGTGGGAAGCAGGATTTACAGGTTTTAAGTAGCTAAACGTGCAGCTACCCGAATTCTACCTGCATGCAATATATGGGCCTGCATGATGAGAACAGGGCCTGGGGTGTTTAGAGTCTAGGTATATCAGCCCTGAGGAATTGTATTCGTAAGTCTTTAGGCCCCTATCTCAAATCCGAAAACGCCCAAATCCGTCAAACCTGCCCTCAAAACTTCAAACCCTTGCAGCCTTAAAGGCCGAGGGTCCTTTTTAAAAGCAGGCTCTGACCCTACAACCCTCTGAACCTTCTGCTCGGCACTCTGCGGCAAGGCCACTCGGCCATTGCTGCTTTCTGGGCCGGCGACCGCGCCTCCCTGGGACGGCTGTTTCGTGTTCGGTGTTCAGCTTTTTGATTAGAGCTACGGGTTTCGGGTTGGAGGGCTTTCTGTCTGCGTTAAATGGCAAGGCAATGCAGGCTCAGTGTTTCGAGGTTTAGTTTTTGGGCTTCGGGGTGTAGGGCAAGTTTAGAGAGCCGTGATACTCTGCGTGTCTTGCTGCCATCCCTATCCTTCCCGCCCCCTGCTACTCCCCAGAACAATTACTAAACTACCGCATTATACTGCATTCTCCGCCTTCTGAAATTGATGTCGCTGGATCAAAGACGGTGCAACTCGTATCAAATTGGTGGCGACCAGGAAAAGCTGACTAGGCACCCAGAAACGCTGAAACCTCCTAAGCCCCGAAGCCTGAACTGCAGCTTCGTGGCCAGCTAACTGGCGCCGCGGCGCCCCGCGACCCCGACTTCTTCTTGAGCCACCAGTTGGCGTTGCTTACTATGGCGGGCCCTTATCAATTAGAGTAGGGCTTCTTCGGGCACAGCTATAGAATGAAGCCCTTTGGACTCATATTGGATCCTTCCTAGGTTGCAAGGCTTGGGGCTAAGGGCGAACACTCCATCTTCGATCTTCAGCTGACAAACCAAGCAGCCCGACGAGTGTCCGGAACCACCATGTTGTTGGAAGCCGCGGGGCGCCTATGTTAGCCTCCGACCCCCAAACAAGGAACTCTGCAGTCCCACAAATTGCGCATGAAAGGTTGGGGGCTAAGTACTCTAAGGCGGCTGGTTCATTCCACCGTGGAACGCCAACAACAGCGTGGATACCAAACCTACAAGTCGGAAACACCACGAGTAGAGCCGCATTGAACGCTTTGGACACTGAGGAAGAACTGCCTACGTCGTGGTCTGGCACAAGTGAAGATGACTTCCTTCTCCGAAACATAACCAGAAGGAGGCCTGAATAACTGAAACATGGTATGGGGCGATAGAGATATTGTAAGGGAGTGAAACAAGGACTGTAAGGGAGCATTATAGCGCCCATATAGCAGCCTGTTCCATTTCCCGAAACCCGTCTCGAATCCCCCGAGCCTCTCCGCAATCTCAACTCTGTTCCCTAGACTCCCTAGACCTAGAGCACCTTGTTCCACACCTCCCTGAAGTTGCTTCTCTGCTAAGTATGGCCCTCTCCGACAATGAACCTTAAACCCTTAAGCCGCAACCTTTCTGTAAACCCCAACCCCTAACCCCCAAACACCTGAACCCCCCAAGCCCTTGTCCCGAAAACTGTCCCAAAGTCGAAACCAACCCAGCTTGCTTGAGCCGAGCCTTTGCCGCCCCCTTTGCCCTTGTACGGGCCATCCTGCCCGCAACAAGGACGAGATGAACAACTAGCTGCCAACTAACTAAGCAGGGCATAGACTAATTAGAATGGGGTTTTGGGGCCCATTATACTATATAACTACAGTGAGGAACGCCCGAAAAAATAGTATAGGTAAATATTCAGGCCCTATATTACGGGGTCTAGGGCTTAGGGATATTGGCCTCGTGGGCTCGCTTTGCCTTCAAGCTGTAAGGCTTGGGGGCTTCTTTCAGCGATGGACAAAGGCTTAGCAAAAAAAGGTTAACCTCTTGAATTCCAGGAGGATCAAAAAACCTAAACCACACCAACCCCTAAAGCGTGAAAGCCTCAAAACCCCTTTTTGAACGAGGTCCCTCTGAGGTGGACTGATTGTACCTTGCTTTCTAGGTCTCCACCCCCCCCCACAATGAATGCAGGCCCCTGCAATGCCAAATTCATGGCGCAGGATATGCAGGCAGCATCAAGGCCTGATGCCGCATTCGGGCCATGGGCCGCCAACCATATCAGCGGATTGTCACATGCATTTTGCACATCGTTTTCTGGCCCAAAGTTGCCGGCCACGATAGCTGCAGTTCTTGCCGGTCGTCTACCTTCTGCAGAGTATAAATACACCGTGATGGTCTGCAAGTGAGGACATCCGCCGGTTGCCCAGCAGGAATAGATCCTCTGGGCTGTACGGCACAATGCAGGGGGTTCAGGACCGTTCCTGGGATTGGTCCATCGAACGGATAGAAATGCGCGTTCAGCTCAAGGACAACTCGTCCATTCTTCCTTTGGTCAACAGCTACTGCAACTGCGCAGGTGGATTTGGAACCCGGCCACATACGCAAAAGTTTAGGGTTTGGGGGGGTCGAAAAGCTTAGGGTTAAGGTCTTAGTTACTGTTTTATCGGGATACACTCAAGACAGCTTCAGGAACCGTCTTGTCCCATGGCAGCTCGTGGTCACACTCCACATAGCCATCACGGACGATGGAGACATTCATGGCCGGATCTCTGCTCAACACTAGCCAGGTATGAAGGAGCTGGGACACGTAGTCTTGCACGACCCCGCTGCACCCCCTTTCCACTAGCATCAGATGCCCCAACCCGAATCAAAAAAGAATGAAACTGCTGCCTTAATCCGCAACTCGAAACCCCAAAGCCCGACGAAGACAGAACAGCCCCAGGGTGCCAAGCCAGCTTCCGACACCGACCACCCCCTGCACTCCACTACATCAACACATAGAACCCTGAAACCCCCCGACTCCGCAAGCTCTAAGCCCCCAAACTTCGAAACGCTGAAGCCTTCACCTACACCCTCAACCCCTAAACCCTCAACCGCTAAACCCTCAACCTCTAAACCCCTAAGCCCTAGACCCCTAAAGCCCGAAATCCGGGAGCCTTACATGGCCTTAACACCTGAAGCCTCAACTCTCGGCGCCTTCTTCTTGACATCGATGCTGCGGATCCTTACAGCTTCTGTGGTTAATAGAGGGTTTAGGGTTTAGGGTTTGGGGTTTAGGGTTTAGGGTTTTTGTATGGTTTAGGTAAGGCTTTGGCATTCCAGGGTCTTAGACTAGCTTTGGGCTCACGGCTCAGAAAGTTGCAAGCCGCCTGTCTGGCTAGGGTTATGCGAGCAAGCCATGCAGCAGGTTTTCAGTAGGAACCAGAATAAACCCTTGGGTTAGTAGGGAATGGAGGAATGGGATACAATAATAACTACTATTACTACCATATTACTACCATATTACTATCAGATTACTATTATTACTACCACATTACTACCATTCTTCCATTCCCTACTAACCAAAGGTAAGATAGGATTATTAAGGCCCCTATATTATAGTACCCTTATAGTAGCCCTTATAGACCCCTTTTTACGGCCCCTTCCATTCCCTACTAGGCAAAGGTAAGTTTAGGGTTCAGGGTCTTGGGGCAGGTTGGGGCCGTTGCCTCGCGGGCCTGGACGGTCCCTCGTGTTCGGATGATGTGGGAGTTTCCGAAAATAGGGGTACCTCATTTTGGGGGTCCTGAAAATAAGGATCCTACTATTCAGGGCACTATGTTAGGGACCCCTATTTTCGGAAGCTCCCATATTAAGAGAGGGCCCTTAATAATTAGACTAGGGATTCATAGGGTTCCTTTAACGGGGCTACTACAAGGGATCTATAAAGGTAGTACAAAATAGGGGCCTGAATAATTAGAATAGGGTTTTGGTGCCCATTATACTATAACTACGTAATTACAATAAGGAACCTCCAGAAGAGTGTTGGGAATTGTTTCAGCCCATATGCTAGTTGTCACCAATAATCTGGTAGCAAGGTCTTGCGGCTGCTCTTCTAAAACCCCTTATGAGACCTGAAAACAAGATTCCTAAGGAAGGGGCAGGGCTTCAAGTAGTCCTCAAAGCCCCTCACATTGTAGCCTCAACCCGGAGTCCAAACGGAACCATAAGGAAGTCGACGACGAACCATTCAGACCCCGTGCAAACACGCAAGACAACTTCAACTCTGAGCTGCACCGCCCTAAACCCCGAGACCGGATCCCTGAAACCCAGAGGAAACCAACGAAAGTTTACGGTTACTAGGGGGTTACGGTTTAGGGTCTAGGGTTTTAGGAAATTGGGTAAAGGTCTAGGGCTGAGGATTTACGGCAAGTCTTTTGGTTGCGAGTTGCGGGTTCAGGGTCCATTCTTCAACCCCTCAGAGATAAGGCAGCAAAAGCAAAAACAACCGCTACGCAGGCATGCCAGTGCGCCGACGAGTCTTGGTCCCGCACGCATCCTCCATCGCGTATCCAAGGAAGCAAAGACGGGAATCCCTGCAGCCTGAACCCGAAAAAAACCCACACCCACGGACGATCTCTGGAGCTCGGCATCTACTTTCTCAGGGATTCGAGGCCGAATGGGTTTCAGGGACCCTAAACCCTACACCCTAAATCTTATAGGGCCTTTGGGGTTCAAGGCATCTGGACTGGTGGTCTGAGATGCAGGAGTGACGGCTGCAGTGTTCTCTTCGTCTGAACCTAGACCCCTCAAGTCAGCATTGGATAGAAACCGAAAACATGCAAGTTGATCCACTTCTGCGACGGAGGGCTCAAGCTTCGGGGTTGTCATGAACCAAACTCCCCTTCAGTCTTGAAACCATGAGTTTAAAGAGCCTGCCCCGCCGAACCGCAACCACTTGGTTCGCTGTGAGCCGCAACAATGGCCGAGTCCGAGTAGTCTGCGGCAAACGACTTGGAGTTTCGGGCTGTTGTGTTATACTTGGAGGTTCTTGGGTACTTATAAGTAAGGTTCTACGTAGGATAACTGTAGTTATAACCCATATTAAAGCCAAACTTATGACTAATTACCCATGAACCTCCAAGTAACACAACTATTGCTGTAGACTTGGAGCTTCGGGCTATTATGTTACTTAACGGGGTCGAGGCAACTCGCAAAATCCCTTCTGAACCCTACTTGGAGGTTCATGCGCACTTATAAGTGGCGCTAGAAGTCCTTCAACATGGCTTATAACTATAGTTATCCCACTTTTAACCCTACGTATATAACTTATTACTAACCATGAATCTCCAAGTAGACCCGAAACCCACATGCTCTGAAAGGAGCTAAGGAGCTTCGCAACGGGTGCTCGAGGCCGCAGTCATTGCAACCGGGTTTAGAGC